CTTTTCACATCCAGAGAAATATTCTGCCTTTTCAATATTTCCTAGGATATTTCATTTTTCGGGGAGAGGGCTGGGTGATAACTTCCTACACTAACTTGTGGATATTCACAAAGCAGCAGTGGAAGCATGTTACCAGTTAAGGTTCTAAAGGAATCTCATGCAAAATTTGTTGCACTAATATAATAAATAGTTTGCAGACTTGTAATTTAAAATACTAAAAGATATCAGGATTCCAGCTTCTGATTTAAGGAATTCGCAAACTTAAATGAAAGCACCACATGGGGAAAAAAATTAAGATCAGAGACTATAGTAGCATTTTCAAGGGACTGATAGATGAGTCTGCTTCAATTGTATTGATTACTAAATTCATTCCATTCCATTTCTGCCCTGAATCAAGAAAAATACAGTTCATATTGTAATATGTTAAGTACAGTAAATACGTAGTTTGAAGTTCCTTAAAATATTCATTTCTGGAGACTTTCTCTCCAAGTATGAATTTTTAAAGCTAACATCGCCTTTTGAAGTACACACCATTATATGTTTTAGATTTTGGTTTTAGTTGAACTATGCTAGAATATTTATGGAGTTGAACTATTGCACAAAGAAGCTTAATAGAAAAACCACACATTGATTTGGGGAGTATGAATCAATGCAAATTATTCCAGAATTCATAAACAATGAATTTTATAATATCCTCGGTAGTTTTTGTTCACTTCTGCTTTACTGTTTAGTTATCTCATAAAAAATCAAAGTGAACCTCTCAATCACAGTGGGATTGAAGACATACAGTTAGTTGAGACTGATGGCCTCTTCTAATGATCCCGGGCAACTGTCCTTCTTAAACACATCATTGAGTGGATCCCTCGAAACAGGGAATTTCTAGGGAGATATCATATTCATGATTAGAGGAATGAGCAAATTATTAATTGCTGTTTCGCAGCTCATGAGACTCCCACACTCACACATGCCAATTTGGTGGAGAATATTTAAATCACTATTT